TCTCTGAGAGACAGAGAGAGAGAGAAAGCAAGTGAGGGAGGGAGAAACTCTGTGCTTCATCACTTGTCACCCTAAAGTGATAGTGAGTTACCCTAAAGTACAGGGGTGACATTGGCAACAATTATCAAAATATCTTGTCACAATACAAGTAGAAAGTCAAAAGAGACATATATACCAGCTCTCAAACTCCAGCATATTACTAGGTAAAATATACTTGCACTCGATCATTTTCCAAGCCATGGAGGTATGCAAATGCATTCTCCAAATTGAGACAAAGACATCTACACTTACTATTCTGAACTATGGAAAAGGAGGTGGGAACATAACAGAGGAATGAAGTTTCAATTTGTGGAACTGAAGACATATTTTACAGTAATTAGATTCCAAAAGCATATGCACCCCCCCCCCCAAAAGAAAAAAAAAAAAAAAAAAAAAAACAGGTGCAAGTTTCTCATTAGGATATTAGCACACTGAAGCAGGAAAGAAAGTACAAACAAGGAAGTGGGGTTACAAAATCACATGTTGGCTTTGATTTTCAGGACTAGATAAGTTTTCTGATAGATGATATATGTCATGTGTTCTCAGAGAGGCTTCTGCATCCTGATTACTGGGGAAACAGGAGAAATAAACTAACATTCTTGTGCTGAGAGAACAGGCAATCCTCTTAACTCTCCTTTAGTATCTAAAACCAGGGTCTTTTCCATGTGAAGCATTCTATGATTACTCAGATCTTGAATTCAGCATAAAAATATTTGGATCTTATATCCAGTGGTAATATTAAGGCCCTCTTTCATAAGTAATTAAAATGAATAGTTGCTGTGATATCTGATTCCCTTAGGCTCCACTGGAATCAGGTCAGCTGTACCAAAATTCAGTTACTTACCATAGCAGGCTTTAAGATTAAAAATAAGTATTTTCAGAACTATGAAAAATAGAACTATGAAACACAGGGTCCAGAATCTGTTTTTCAGTATTCACTCACATCTAAGAAAAAGTAAGACCATCTGTCAGGGGAGGGGGGAGAGAGGGGAAAGGAAGAAACAGTCAAGCTGGAAATGTTAAGGGAAATTACTGGGAATAAAATAGTATTCCATAGCTCCCTAGGGTATCTTAAAACACTTGACTTGGCACCAATTGGAGTGCTGAGGTGCCAAGAGGCAAAAGTGATTGGAGAGGTGCCTGCTTTTAAAGATTTACTGGCTTGCATAGAAGCTGGCATGACATAGTGAGGCCTAAAGGCATGAAGTATAGCCAGAAAGAAGCCTTTTCCCTTTCAGTCAGCTGAAGCACTACTAACCATCTTAGTGGGGCCTAGAAATTTTTGGCAGTGCAGTATCCTGTTGGGGTGTAAGCCACACAAACTGGCACTTGAAAAGCTTGAGAAGTCTGTTTTAAACAAAGAACTTGAGACACTCTTCAAGATAACTTGCCTCTCAATAGCAGAGCTTGGCAAAGTTTGAGATTAGGCTAGGGTTTGGAAAATACCACGGCCTCTATAGATCTGAGTTTTGAAAGTTGCCTGTCAAAGGAAAGGGTTGCCACTCTAATATATTTTTCTCCAGAAACAAATGTGGACCAGATCCTCAGATGGAAGATGTTATGCTTGAGGGAGCAACAAGGAAATGAGAACCACTCCAAAGACAGTTGATTCCTGAGTACTGTGAACCCTCTCCAGGTAATGTAATCTACTACGTGCATGTCTTTTGCTTTTATCAGGAATGCAAAGTTACAGGGACCACCTAAAGAAAAGAATCACATTTTAATGAAGATCTTATGAAGCAATTCTGAAGCAGATTGATACAGTGGGATACTCTAAATATACAGTCTCAAACATTTTGGACAGTGGAACCTTGCAATCAATCTTGCCAATAAAGACAGTGAAAAGATAATTTTAACCTTTTTTTTTTTTCTTTTCGCTTGCAAGTCAAGCTGCCAGATAATTTGGATACAAGCTCTTCACCTGACCAAAAAGGATAACAGGTATGTCCAACAGATTTAAAAAACAACAACAAAAACAAAACACCCCCCACCCTTCCTACACACACACACAAAAAAAAACCCCACCAGGTTTCCTCATGAAAAAAATGATTTTTTAAGCTAGGAGCAGGAGCCACAGCTATATAGGTCAGAGATCATAGTCAGATGAAGACCCAGTAGGACCAACGGCCTGGAAAAAAAATCACTAGCATAGCATGCCCTGGAGGATAAAAAGAAATCTCTGTTAAAACTAATCCTAAGTAAGTTCCCTCAGTAGTTAGTATATACATCCATGCATGGACACCATTACCTGAACAAAAGAGAACCACAACTTCCCAGTGTGGATGTAATGAAAAGAAAGTTCATCTAGATTCTGAAAACCTGTTTCGTTAAAGCAAAAGAATGAACACCAATCCCACAGAAAGCAGCATTTGACTCCTTGGAATTAATGGCGTTGTCCTATCCCCTGCTAGCCATGCTGTGTGTCCGTAAGGAGGTCTTCATATACTGAATAATTTTAAGAAAAAATACAGATATTGAATTGTTTCAAAATCTAGCCTGCTTATGGGGTACTTAAGTCCTTTCCCATATCTAACAGATCTATAGAGTTGGTTTCACAAAAGCAGAAGAGACCCAAACAATTTTTCCACTACACGCATTCAGGATGCATTGAGTTGTATTTGTTGTGAGGCATACTGAGAAGGTCCACATAATCTAGTCAGTTAAGCAGCATTGATGGTCTCTAAATTAAAATACTGCCCAAGTTTTCCCTTGCAGCTTCCTTTTAGTCCAGAAGTAGAAAATGAAAAGGCATGGCATAAGCACAACCATTCATCCAGAACTACAGTACAGAGCCTCTGCTCTCAGAGCAGAGGTAGCACGGACAGTGTCATCCATTGTCAGCTCTGTGCCAGAACCCCAGAAACAACAGCACCGTCCTCACTAGTGGCTGTCTGCTTGCACCGAAACAACGTTGGCCATTGCTGTATGCCACGGAATGCCAGTCCATCTGATGCCACGGAATGGAGCTGGTCCACTAGGAACATTCACTTTCTCACCAATCACTTTCCTCACTGGCATAACCTGTTCAAGTACATGCTGTGCGAGCTGAGGCTTGCTCAGAGACTAGGAAAGACTGACAAAATGCAAGTTAGATTGAAGCACAAAGAGCAGACATAGCCACTGGCTGACATATGGAAAATCACGACTGTGTGGACACTAGTTGAACTGTATGTTTGTGACTGCATCCACCTTTATTTATTTGGCAATATTAACCAGGTATGATTCTATTTTCAAAGCTGACGGTATATAAGTTGCTATAAATACAAGCATTGTGTGACTGAAATCCTGTGTTTACTAATGTATAATTAAATGAATATTAGAAAAAAACTATTGTGGATTTCCTAAAGCAGACAAGCAAGGAAAATTAGTTCAAAATACCAAGTTTGGAGTAAATAAGTCTTTAAGCAAAAGAAAAAAAACCACTAGCATATAAACTGAAAATCTCAAAATGCTTGTTTAGTATAAGACAGTACATGATGGTACATAAGAAAGAGGTACTTGCTGCCAACAACTTTGGGGCTCAGCCTTTCGCAAGCAGATCCTTAAGCTGGAGACAACAACAGTGAATGAAAGTTTCAAAGCTTCAAATAATACAAATACAACTATAAAAGGAGACTTTTTTGGTTTTCTTTCAAAATCTCTATTCCACTACGTTCACTTAAGAATGTGACCAATCTTCCAATAACGTAAGGAATTCTTAGAGCAAATACATTCTATATTGTCTTGATGGAGTTTTCCTTCTAGAGCAGCAAACAATGTTACTGGTACTGTTATTACTGTTCCCTCTATGTTAATACTATGCAAGTAACTGTCATTAATCCAGGTCAGTGCTGCAACCAAATGGACTGCGGCAGTTTACTATTTCCTAGCTAGGATGCATCTTTTGCAGACTGACTTGAGATAAACCTTAAAATTAATTAATTCAGAGGATCTCTTGAAAGATTCAGACCCAACTACATTCTGGATCTACATATATGGATCATCATCCATACAACACCTGTCTACTGAAGACCAAACGTGTTTTATGTAGCAAATTTTCGGAAGTGGGATGGTTTTAAGTGATGGTCTGCAAACCTAACAAGTTACAGCAGGAGATCTGAAAGTTGAAACACAGGAAGTTCCATATCCATGTGAGGAAGAACTTCTTTCCTGTGAGGGTGCTAGAGCCCTGGCACAGGCTGCCCAGGGAGGCTGTGGAGTCTCCTTCTCTGGAGGTTTTCCAAACCCACCTGGATGCTGCCCTGTGCCCCATGCTCTGGGTGTCCCTGCTGGAGCAGAGGGGTTGGACTGGATGATCTCTAGGGTCCCTTCCAACCTCAACCAGTCTGTGATTCTGTGAAATTTGCAAAACTGGCTGAAGACTCTAGAAGCAGAAAGTACTATAGTGAAGTGGATTTTTATGCTAGATGAAAAATAAGTATTCCTGAATACTACAGAAGTGAAAACAGAGAAATCAAGACTTTACTGGGTAACAAAGGCAAAGTATGCAAAGAAATAACCTAACAAACAGGTTTGGCAGAAATACAAGGGATGATGGGAGTATAAAAGAAAAAGCGCGCAAGGGAAGAGAAGGAAGAAATCCCTTTCTGCACTCTTTCCTACTATCATTTTCTTTAAGGACTTGGAAAGCATAGTCAACCCATCTCACACTAAGCACCCTGAACAGAAACAGATTTTTTTTTTCTTTAAAAAAAAAAAACATTAGTTGAATGTGTTTTAAAACTACTACAGAAGTACACTGTTATTCCCAGTGGGACACTTTAATTCATGCTATTAAAATGCAAGCCAAATGAGCCTTACAGTAAATTAATGAGGCAGAATTTTAAGAAGTATTGTGATTTCACTCTTTATGCATAAAGTTATGAAATCTGAACATACTGCCCTTAAAAGCTTAATATTAACTAAAACCACACATTTTATTTTGCCATATTGTGCTTGTTTTTAAAAGCTCACGATACATCTTATTTTAATGATGCTTGCAGTTATGTGATACACTTTTTTTTCTTTAAACCAAAAGTATCTTTCCTATATGGATCAAGATTTTTCATACCTAGATTTCTCTAAAACAAGTCAGAAGTACAGTGAAACCTCTTAAATCTACTGATTTTTGCATTTCTAGACAGAAAACTAAATAGTACCTAAAATAAAATTTTCAATAAATTTTCAATACCTAGCTGAGGAAAGGTGGTGGGAGGGCATGGTGGACAGGGGAAGGGAGAGTGGCTGGGGAGGGGTGGATAGTGGAGAAGGAGGAAGATATTCACAATTCAAGGTATTCACAACTCAGATACAACTCTGACATTTAAAACTATGTGAGTGAATACAGCTGTTTTTAATAGTAACGTAATACTAGAAATGATAAAATGCATACTCTGAAATTGTTTAAAACAGCCAACTGGCAGATCCCAAAAAGCACTCTCCTAGGACTTCTAAAAAGAAAGAAAATGCTTCTGTCCACTTCTAGATTACTTGACACAAGTAACTAAGTAGAATAAAGTAGAATAATTGAATAAGTAGAATAGTTGGATAATAGTCTACTTATTTCCCAGAATACCCATAGAGAACTTGGTTTGCCATATATATTTAATTTTAGTTCTAGGAGAAAATGGGCATAAGAAAAACACGACATACTAGATTACTTCTTAAAACTGATTATTATTCCATCATTCCTTTTCTGAAATATCAGCTTTTTGGTTCCAAAAATGATAGAGTAGATTCTTCTTGTTAACAACATCAAGGTAAAGACTATTCTTATTTCTGAATTTCCAATTTGAAAATTAATACGAGTATGCTGCTTCCTTCTAATAATTACTCTGCTACCACAACTGACCATAATAGAGAACTAAATCAGGGGAAAAAAATGTGCATATTCATCAACTGGGATTGAGTATTTTAACTATTGTTAAACAACAGAGTAAACCCAACTAAGAGGTATCTTACTCTGGAGTTGGAAACACTTCGTTCAAACTGAAGAGGTCTTAAGGGTCATAAAAATTAAGAGAAATTAAAATGTATACATATCTCCCGAAATGTATACATATCTACGACATTTTTATTGTATCACATAAAAGTGGACTTGTTTTAGTAACAAGTTATTATTCCTATTCCTATCCTATTTCAACGTATTGCTTGCACAGGTAGCAATCTTACTTAAATTGGTTGGTGAATCATTAATATTCTTGATACAGTTGCACTTTCAAATTAACACCACAGTTTTTCCAAATCTAGGATTTTGAAATACAAAGTTTCACCAATCATTTCAGTAATCAAAATAATTCCTTCTAGTCACACAGCAGTATTTCAGAGTAGTTTCTCCAATCTGTATTTCACAGAATAACAGACTGGTTGAGGTTGGAAGGGACGTCTAGAGATCATCCAGTTCACCCCTGCCCCAGCAGGGACACCCAGAGCACAGGGCACAGGGTGACATCCAGGTGGGTTTGGAAGATCTCCAGAGAAGGAGACTCCACAACCTCCCTGGGCAGCCTGTTCCAGGGCTCTGTTACCCTCACAGGAAAGAAGTACTTCCTCACATGGAGATGGAACTGCCTGTGTTTCAATTTGTACCCATTGCCCCTTGTCCTGTCACTGGCCACCACTGAGAAGTCTTTGGCCCCTTCCTCCCTACATTCTCCCCTCAGGCATTTGTACATATCGATCAGATCCCTTCTCAACCTTCTCTTCTCCAGATTAAACAGGCCCAACTCACTCAGCCTTTCCTCATACAAGAGATGCTCCAGTCCCTTAATCATCTTTGTTGTCCTCCGCGGGACCCTCTCTAGAAGCTCCACGCCTTATACTGGGGAGCCCAGAACTGTCCCCAGTACTCCAGGTGCAGCCTCACCAGAGATGAGAAGAGGGGTAAACTGCCTTTTTACAGAGTTCTTCCAAAATATTTCAAATTAAAATCTCTATGCAAAGAAAAGACATACCTTGGCATCTCCATCAGGCAAGAAGAGATAAGCGCCGCTCTTATCCCGGTTACTTGTAGTTCCATACCATGCAAACTCCACCTTCATTTGATGGTTTTTACCATCTTCTTTTGTATTTATTTTCTAAGGACAGACAATCACATTTGAAATGTCTCAGTATACCTAGGTTTCCCTGAACCAGATCAAAAGTTCCAGAGAAGCAAAATAAAGTGTTTCAAGCTATATGGTAACTTACCTCCAATAGTCCAGACATTCCAGAGAACCACAGTTTCATATAGGAGTTCTCTAAAATTATATTATCTGCAGAATTTTGCATCTCCTTTATCTTGAAAATGTTATTTGGTTTGACCTGCATATTATTCCTTCCACTTGTATATATAGTATAATCAGCTAAATCTGCTTCTGAACTCTGAGCCTCCAAAAGCTGGTAGACTCCAAGTCCCAAAGGTGGTAAATGTGCCAAGAAAGAGATCTGTTGGGGGTAAAAAAGAACTATTTACTTCAAAAAAAAAAGATTATCAATTTGTTGCACCAGATTAACTTTCAGTGCAACTCCCTTTGCTACGACAATTACAGAAGACCTGATTTTTTTCCCATTTTCCCAAAATAATCAGTCATAAACAATATTCTAAAATAAACAGATGAAGCATGTGAAGAAAAATTAGCAAACAAAAATGCTTCTGTTGATAATCTAACAGTTATAATCACTGTTATCTTAATGCAGTAAGAGTTTTCAATCTTTGTAAAGAGGAATGTTCCTGCAGTTTGTGGTTGTAAGCAAGATTGCTATGCATAAAAGATGAATATGTATCATGTGGAGAACCTTACATACCACTTAAAAAACCCACAAATTTAGAAAAGGAACCTATAAGGAAATTATCTCACTTTTACTTTCTACTTAAGGATTATTAAAAAGAAATCTACACAGAAGAGTAATGTAAAAGGTATATTTCCATGGGAATCTGCTTAGAATGGCAGTTACAAATATGTAATTTTCTTTCTCCTCCTTCTACAGCCTCTGCAATTCCCACATTATGTTAATTATCAATAATTACCCCTTTGGAGGAGCCGGAGAAACACTAATTGAATAACCTTTACAGGTATATCATCCTGAAACAATCTTAATTTGGCTCAGAGAGATCTATGTAGTATTTTTATAATTCTAAGAATAAAAACAACAAGAAAAAGAACCCACACTCCTCCAGTTTCTGATGTGTGATAACTGCAGATAATCTTTTATGATGAGCTGTAATTCAAAAATTGTAAGATGCACTGTTTAATTCAAAAATTCTCAGAAACATTCTTTAAAAACAGAAATAAGAGGTGGAACAAAATCATCTGTTGGGCTTGAGCATACAGGAATGGAGATCGTAAGCCTGCCTCCTTATCTGGAAGGCAAAAATTCAGAACCCAACTGTTTAAACCATTGTATCTAAAGATTTAAGAAGTCTTCCAGTCAGAGTGCTTAAGCATATATAAACTGTGTGACTGTGCATCCACCTTAGAGAAAAAGTAGCTTTAGAACTGCAGTTTTAGGAAGAAAAGACACATTCAACATTTTATTCTCATGCAGCTATTAACTGTTAATTAGCTCTGCAGCTAACTGACCCTTTCACCATAACACATCCCTTTATGAAAATTCAAAATCTAATCACTTTAAGAAAATTGTTAAATTTATGTTAAATATATATGCTTCTTTTATCCTTAAAATGATTGAATTAGTGACATTATCTACAGAAGACTGAAATGCCAACAGAGGATATTTACTTTCGATTACTGTGTCATTTTTGTTCTAATGTGAGCTACAGCATCTCTCAAATAAAAATATTTGATTACCTTTTACTTGAAGTAGCATACCTGATACGCTTCATGTGATACTGTAGTTGCTCCATCCCAAATCGCACTAATTTGGATAGCAACAGATTTTCCCAAAGGAGATAACAATGTAACTCGGGGTGAATTCACATTGACTGAAACCACTGAAAATCGCTCTTGTTCCACAGGATTATATATCAGAAGGTACCTGCAAGAATAGATTTGCTAAATTATCTTTGTGAAACAAGATTTTACAGGTTTAATATTGTTGCACATATATTATACAAACAAAGCATTAAAACAATGTTAAAACAACAGGTATGTAACACAACAAATAAGTATGCAAAACATAACCAGGAAACAATGAATATTTAACATCAATTCTTGGCAGGTCTTTTCTTATGCTGTTACTTTTTCAAATATTTCAAACAAAAAGGAATTTTGAAAATACCATACAAGTCAATTTCACATCTTAGCTTTTATATCTGTTTAGAGTTATAATCTCAGACCAAGTATTCAGGTTAATCAATTGTTTTTGTTTTGTTTTGTTTTCCAGGATGAATTACTAATTTTTTATCCACAATGTTTTTGTGATTTTCCCTTCATTTAAAACATAATTTAGAAACAATGGTGTAATGAACAAAACTTTATGTACATACAGATATATATCTGACGTACATTCTTTGAAGTAACTAATTTCTCTCAACTATAAAGCAAAGTCCAAAATCATTTAATTGCAAAATTTTATCAAAATTCCTTATGGCAACTTTCATATACACACTGAAATCTATTTAGCTGGATGCATGGAATAGCTAGTTTTTATACACATGTAATTGGTCCCTGAAGCTCCTGTCATTTCATAATTCTAATATTCTATCGTCAACCTGTTTACCTCTTCATGAAATCCTATCCTTCATCAGTTTCCCAAAATTCTATCTACTACTTATCAAATCACTCCTTGAGTACTTCTTTTCGGGTTTCAGGTGTTTATTAATGTTTTTCCTTCTCTTTCTTCCATTTCTCAACTTTCAAGTTCAATTACCACCTTTACAGATGAAACTACTTCATGTAGAATTGTTTCAGTTCTACAAAAAAGACAGAAACCTCTTTCTGTCTTTCAGGTCTTTATCTTGAATATCACCTGCAATTTGAGTCTCTTTCCAGCATCTCACATCCTCACTGTATGTATTCCTTATTCAACATTAGTTAACCTGGAATCTGGATATGACATTACGGCCCAGTTAACAAATGACCTATGCAGTTAAATGCTTTGACCTTTTATTTTCTCTTTTCTTCCATTAGTTCTAAATGCACACCAGAGGCTTTTTTCTAAGTGCTAGAGAGAAATGAGCTTTCCTGGCACCTGTGATCTACCTTTAAGATGAAGTCTGGTTGGCAGCAGAGAAAGTAGTAAATTATGACCACAGTAGTGAGCTTTGGACATAATGAAAGTGTCAAGGAGGAGAGGCAATAGCAAAATGCTCATGGTTAATATGGAAGAACAAATTAAGCTTCTTCTGAGGGATACAACTTCAACAAAACTTTAGTACAAAGTCAAACTGATAACGTACCACTCAAGTAAGAATGTGATACAAACACATCAAGGATCACATCTTTAACATCTTTCCTTTTTCTCCATTCAGCTACCCTCCTTTCACCCTGTACTTTTTTTTAAAATAATATTCCTCTAGTTTTGGCAAATGCAGTTTTACCCTGCTGATACTCAGAATCCTTATCAACACTGACCAGTTCACTCTTTTCTCATTATCCTTTCACTGGCTCCTTTTCTTCTGCATCAAGCTTGAGTTGCTTATTTTCAACTTCTACAGCTCTTCAAAGAGACCCTATTATCTCACAGTCAGTAGGAAAGGTCAACTGCAACTTCTCAATTGTTGAATCAACTCTGATCAAAGGCTCTATTAGTTTTTTCAAGTAATAATCTTCAGACTACCTGTCACAGCTTGAATGAGCTTGCCATAAAAAATATTTCCTCCTTTAAATCTGCTCTTTACAACTTCCTGGGCTGAACTACTGTTGACTGTCAAACATAACAACTCTTTTCCTTGCATATCTGTGTGCATCCGGCTGTAGTCAGTATTTACTAATGCAATCAGAAGTGCTTTTGGGAGGCTCTCTTTTTATCCAGTTTCACATTGAGGGCTCACAGACTATAGATAATTAGCTTTCACTCTTCAACAACTTTTGCAAGACTTTGTCAGAGTCTCCCCAGACTCATGTAAGTCATATACTTGTACTTTACTGTATTTTTTTTCTCCTTTGGCTAAAATTTTGGATAAAATGTTAATCTAAGTTTTAGCATTTTTATAATTCTTATGAAATCAAAATCAAAGTAAAATAATAGTACACAGTCCATTTTTTACGAATAAAATAACAAAAACGAAATATATCTAAGAACTACATATATACCTTGAAAAGCAGAGAACTGTGTCAAATACAATTTATCTTATGAGATCGGTCAGAATAAATCGTCACTCTCACAAATACAACATTACAAAAATATGTTTTGCTTATTCTTCCTACAAAATAGAAATTCTCATAAGCCTCTGTGCCATAAAATGCATTACAGATACAGTTAATTTCTAGCAATGATCTATGTCTTCATTAGATTTTCATTAACTGCCAAAGAAAATATTTATATGAATATATATACTTTGTTATGGTCCCTAACCACTTCAACTAGTGGCTAGTGGTGTGACCAAAAAAAAAAAAAAAAAACCAAACACCCTAGACTAAAAATTTTGATACTATCAATTTTAATCCCCAGACTATTTTTCTTTAATATCGGGCTGAAAGAAACTCTAGTTGTGTCAAGGTATATAGGCTTTGTACCCTTTTAAAGGTTTGCAATACAAGTGTATTATGGCAATCAGATTAAGGTAATGAGAATAAGGCAAATTTCTGACAGTAGAGACTTGTCTAGATGTCAATATTTTGTTTCAAATTTTACTTGAGCAGAATCGAAATACCTAGAAGGATGCAACTATTATATATAAACACAAAAGCACTGACTAGTGCAATTAAAATCATGTTACTTCTGAAATATCACTCTATTCCCACCCTTAGATAAAACCTCACTATAACTAGAAAGAAATAATTAAAATTCATTATGGAACAAAAGGACTACACTAAGCTATAACATTACAAAGAATGTCATCCACAAATATAGAGTGCAGCTGCCTAATATATATATAACTGTGGTTACATTATGTAGAAAAGCAATGTGACAAATGTGGCAAAAATAGGAATAATACTCCCTCTTCCAGAAGCAGCAAGTAGTTATTTTCCTTTCACTATTTAGATCAGTAGTCTCTGGCAATAGCAAAACGAAAATTATCCAGTCTCACGGAAAGGGGAACAAAAACATGTTGATACCCACCAGTACGATTCTAAGGGAACGTTTTACTCAAAATATTTTACTTTAGAAACACCAGCCATTTCATTTATTCAACAGAAATAAATGAGAAAGAGGTGCAGATCTGAGATCTCAGTGCTAAATGGGATGCAACTTGCATGTACAAATAGTTGCAATTTGAGAAGAGCAAATCCTGCCACTTGCCTTTCAGATGCTTTTAGAAAGACGTGCCTTGATTTTTTTTTTGATCCCTCCTTATTTGGATCTCTGAAACCCAGAGTGAGCATTATTTAATTCATGTAGACTTGAAAATCTTCCTTAAAACAACCTAGTATATGACGTTAACATATTTGTCTATTAAGCATGTACAATAAATAATCCATATGGAGTATTTTGACTAACTCATGATGTAGTAATAATTTAATTTGTCTATCCTTTTTCACAGCAATGCTAGAAAATGTTAGGATCTTTAACTTGTCTAAGTGTACTTCTTCAGTGTAACTTAAAAAATTACTATTTCCTGTTCTTATTTCAAATAACATCTTTAAGAAATTACCAAGAAAAAAAAGTTTAGGTATATTCACAGAAAAGAACTGAAAAAAGTTGATCCATGCCTCCAAAAGCATTGATCCTAGAATTTCTGAACACTAAAGCAAATTGTTTATTAAACTATGAAGAGCTACAGTACTGCAGACTATTGTTCTTTTGTTTCCCTAAGATGTGTAAGTATATGGACATACATATATGTACACACAAATTCACCAATAGCACTTGTCACTAGAGTACCTTACACTTTTAAAGTTCATTCAATGCTGACTTTATGAGTGATGCCATCAAGTGATGTCAGAAATCAGAACTCACTAAAAATAAATGTCAAAGAATCATAAGTGACAAAGGATTATCCAGAATACCATCTCTTAATACACAAAAACACGAAATAGTTTAAGACACCAACTTTTATGGCTCAGTGGAGAACAGTTATTCATGTTTGCTTTAAGGAACAATTATTTGAGGCACTCCAGCTCAGAATCTGATCATTCTAACTGGAATCTTTCTGGCAACTTCACAAATAAGCATTTTCCATCATAATTCATCAACACCATTTCTCCAGGTATATATGGTCAATTTCAATGTGAAGTTGAAGGTATAGCACCTTTGCTTGAAGCTGGCTAGTTTCTTTCTTCTGGTATACAGGTTAAGCTACGAAACACCTTTATAAAAAAAAGAACTACGAGTAGTACACGCGAGAAAAGTTGCAAGAAAAAAAATTTCAAAGCCAAACAACATACTACATCACCAGTCTTGCCCTGAGGAATAAAAAAAGAACAAATGAAGAAACAGAAGGATATAAGCTTCTGACTTTAAATGACGTTAAATGTCAACAAGGAGAAGAAAGTTTGCAAACACACATAAAAATACTCAAATTCCTAAGGGCAATGAAGTATCTCTATTTATGTAAAAGCTCAAAAATATGTACTAGAAAAACTGGTAGGTGGAAAGTGAACTACACTGAAAAAGGTATTCAGAGGTCTTGGAAATAAATGGTGCTCAAGGTACAAGATTTCTAAACAAAATTGAAGTTGCCTAAACAACACATCTTCCTGGAATGGCAAAGCAATAGAAACTATCTAGATATCAAAAGATGGATCAGTAGAGAATCAAAACTGGTCCTTATTTGAAAATGCACTGGAAAAGTGCTTTACTTTAAAAGATATAAGATATTGCAGCATTTTTCTTAGTAGATACAAAAATATGTTAAAAAAAAAAAAAAAGTGTGGTATGTTACTGTAGTATGCTGGAAGCTTAAAAAGGTACACCTGGCAGCTAGAATTCTT